GGGTTCAACATGTAAGAAGTAGAAAGTACAGGTATTTGAGTTCAAAATGTAAGAAGTCAAAGTAAAAAGTCGTCAGAAAAATAAGGAGTAAAGTACTGATACCAGAAGCATGTGCTTAAGTACAGTAACAACGTATTTGTACTCCACTACTTCCCACCTCTGCTTTAGGGTGACCTTTTCTTATAATGATCCTGTGCAGTAGAAGAGGTGTAATCAATACTCTGCAGAAATGTCCTCCCTGAGGTTAAAGAAAAGGCCTTCCAGGAAGAAGCAGGATGTACATTCACCTACAATCAAAACCTTGAAATGGTGCAATGTCAATACATTTTCACTACAGACATGTGAACATTTGATAAAGCCAGGTTCCTCCTTCTTGATCCAAAGGTTTAAACAATGGGCATTATCTGTTTATTTCTCCATACGTCTGAAAAAAGGGCAATAACAAATGTATGTTTTCTATGTTTTTTGTGATAAAACGTGACATAAATAAGCTATAAGGCAGTTAAGGCTAGAGTTCAGTAACATAATGATTTTCTACTCTACAAATATATATTCACGGCACATAAAGACTTCACTTAGTGGCTCACCAGTACGACTAATTTGTGACCTTCATTTTCTTCTGACGTGGCACACAAATCAATTTGCTGGTCCTATTACAAATAAATGGGTTAAAACCTTTAAGATGCTGTTGTTTGCCTTACAAATATACTTTAAAAAGTGTGTCCTTGTCAATTAAAGAGTCCTCTCCTGCATGTTCAAGTGTATATCAGTATGTAGTGTCTCTACTTTAAAGAGTCCTCTCCAGCTGATGTTTCAGGTGTATATCAGTATGTAGTGTCTCTACTTTAAAGAGTCCTCTCCTGCTGATGTTCAGGTGTATATCAGTATGTAGTGTCTCTACTTTAAAGAGTCCTCTCCTGCTGATGTTCAGGTGTATATCAGTATGTAGTGTCTCTACTTTAAAGAGTCCTCTCCTGCTGATGTTCAGGTGTATATCAGTATGTAGTGTCTCTACTTTAAAGAGTCCTCTCCTGCTAATGTTCAGGTGTATATCAGTATGTAGTGTCTCTACTTTAAAGAGTCCTCTCCTGCTGATGTTCAGGTGTATATCAGTATGTAGGGTCTCTACTTTAAAGAGTCCTCTCCTGCTGATGTTCAGGTGTATATCAGTATGTAGTGTCTCTACTTTAAAGAGTCCTCTCCTGCTGATGTTCAGGTGTATATCAGTATGTAGTGTCTCTACTTTAAAGAGTCCTCTCCTGCTGATGTTCAGGTGTATATCAGTATGTAGTGTCTCTACTTTAAAGAGTCCTCTCCTACTGATGTTCAGGTGTATATCAGTATGTAGTGTCTCTATTTAAAGAGTCCTCTCCTGCTGATGTTCAGGTGTATATCAGTATGTAGTGTCTCTACTTTAAAGAGTCCTCTCCTGCTGATGTTCAGGTGTATATCAGTATGTAGTGTCTCTATTTTAAAGAGTCCTCTCCTGCTGATGTTCAGGTGTATATCAGTATGTAGTGTCTCTATTTTAAAGAGTCCTCTCCTGCTGATGTTCAGGTGTATATCAGTATATAGTGTCTCTACTTTAAAGAGTCCTCTCCTGCTGATGTTCAGGTGTATATCAGTATGTAGTGTCTCTATTTTAAAGAGTCCTCTCCTGCTGATGTTCAGGTGTATATCAGTATGTAGTGTCTCTACTTTAAAGAGTCCTCTCCTGCTGATGTTCAGGTGTATATCAGTATGTAGTGTCTCTACTTTAAAGAGTCCTCTCCTGCTGATGTTCAGGTGTATATCAGTATGTAGTGTCTCTACTTTAAAGAGTCCTCTCCTGCTGATGTTCAGGTGTATATCAGTATGTAGTGTCTCTACTTTAAAGAGTCCTCTCCTACTGATGTTCAGGTGTATATCAGTATGTAGTGTCTCTACTTTAAAGAGTCCTCTCCTACTGATGTTCAGGTGTATATCAGTATGTAGTGTCTCTACTTTAAAGAGTCCTCTCCTACTGATGTTCAGGTGTATATCAGTATGTAGTGTCTCTACTTTAAAGAGTCCTCTCCTACTGATGTTCAGGTGTATATCAGTATGTAGTGTCTCTACTTTAAAGAGTCCTCTCCTACTGATGTTCAGGTGTATATCAGTATGTAGTGTCTCTACTTTAAAGAGTCCTCTCCTGCTGATGTTCAGGTGTATATCAGTATGTAGTGTCTCTACTTTAAAGAGTCCTCTCCTGCTGATGTTCAGGTGTATATCAGTATGTAGTGTCTCTACTTTAAAGAGTCCTCTCCTGCTGATGTTCAGGTGTATATCAGTATGTAGTGTCTCTACTTTAAAGAGTCCTCTCCTGCTGATGTTCAGGTGTATATCAGTATGTAGTGTCTCTACTTTAAAGAGTCCTCTCCTGCTGATGTTCAGGTGTATATCAGTATGTAGTGTCTCTACTTTAAAGAGTCCTCTCTGCTGATGTTCAGAGTGTATATCAGTATGTAGTGTCTCTACTTTAAAGAGTCCTCTCCTGCTGATGTTCAGGTGTATATCAGTGTGTAGTGTCTCTACTTTAAAGAGTCCTGTCTTAATATCTCCTTCCTTCTTGTTCTCCATCTCCATGGATACCTTGGGAACACACAGTGATATTTCTGCTTGTTGCTATGAAAGCAGAGTTATTTGGGACAGAAAGGTAAACACTGGGTTGGATTTGACGACAGAAACACAGGTTTTACATTAGAGGCTAGCACACAGTAATGTTCTGGGTGAGTGGAGCGTGACTCCTGAAGTGGTTTTTACTTTAGCTGCCAGCTGCTCTGATGAAGAAGAATGGACTTCTGATTTCAGGGAGACACAGTTGATCAGTCAGGAATTATATTTTCATGTTCTGTTTACGTCCATCTCTCCTGCGTGTTTACCACAAGAACTCCTGGATGGAATTTCTCCGAAGTCAGTGCAAACATCCAATTTGACTCAAGAATGAAGTGAGAAGAATTTGATGATAAAATGTCCCTGTGACCAAGAACTCCTGGAGGGAATGTCCTCACATCTAGAACACCCAATGAGACTCAAGGTCACAGTGACTTCACGCGACATAATCCAATAAATGATATTCTGATTATTACATTAATTTGCATAAATTACAATCAATGAGGTAAAGGCAATTGCTGGACGTGAACTATATTTTTTTGAAGATCTCCAAATTCTGACTTTTTATTTTAAATCTCACAATCCAGATTTCCCCCAAAAAATTCTGATTATTTTCTCAAAAGCCATTTTTTAAAATTTTTAAAATTCTTACTTTTTTCTGACTGTATACATTTTTACTTTTTTCTCAAATTCTGACTTTTTCAACTGCGTCTCCATTTACTGAGAGACCTTAACCATCTGTCAAAACCAAGTCGTATTTATCTTTTAAAGACCTGGAAAGGGTTATTAACGCCTTTGTGACCTCAAGACTGGACTATTGTAACGCTCTGTATGTGGGTATGGACCAGGCATCAATTAAACGCCTGCAGCTAGTCCAAAACGCAGCTGCACGTCTCCTGACTGGCCACAAAAAGCGTGACCACAACCACCCCAATTCTGGCCTCACTGGCTTCCAGTCCGGTTCAGAATTTATTTTTAAAATCCTTTTATTTGTATTTAAAGCACTAAATGGGCTCTTGGCCTATATAGCTGAACTCCTCCAGCGCTACACCCCAGCCATGAGCGTAAAGATCTGCTGACCAGCTGCTGCTGGTAGTGCCCAAGACCAGGCTCAAAACCCGAGGGCACCGAGCCTTCGCAGCGGCTGGCCCCAGGCTCTGGAACACTCTGCCCCTCCATGTGAGGTTCGGCCCAGACCCTAGGGGGCTTTTAAATCCACACTGAAGACACACTACTTCTCTCTGGCCTTCTAGTTAGAGTGGGGTCATGACTCCTGACTGTTCCATGTGTTGTTTTTATCTGTTGTGATTTATTGTGATGTATGTGTTTAAATTACATGTACAGCACTTTGGCTCGACCAAAATCGTTTTAAATGTGCTCTACAAATAAAACTTGATTTGATTTGATTTGAAAGGACTTACTGCATGTAGCATAAAATATGTCTGTTCTTACATCACCAAAAAACATGGATTAATTCTCATGCTTTTCAGTTTTAAACTTCTCCTAAAATATGCAAAATATCTAGAAACAAGCCTTGCATTTACATGACAACCCTTATATAGGAAACACAATAGCATGGGAGGGAGGAAACCCTCTTTAATGCAGAGCACACAGCACTTTTCAACACAAGGCAATTCAAAGTGCTTTACAGAAATGAAAGACATTAAGAGCATAAAACGCATTAAAAACTTAAAAAGCAAGATAATAAAACATGAATAACACAGGTACATGAATAAAAGTTACAGAGCAGTGTGAGATGAGAGTAGTTCAATTAAAAGCAGCGGAAACAGGAAGTCTTCAGCCTGGATTTAAAAGTAGTCAGAGTTGCGGCGGACCTGCAGGTTTCTGAGATTTGACGATATCTCACATTCCTCGACCCCTAGTCTTCCTTTTTATATTCCTTTCATCCATTTTGCATCACATTTCCCCCTGCTTTACTGTTACCTGAACCCATCGTTGACCCTTTAAACCCAGTAATGTAACTTTAGGGTGACCTTTTCTTATAATGATCATGGGTTAGAAGAAGAAGAATGATCAATACTCTGCAGAAATGTCCTCCCTGAGGTTAAAGAAGGCATTCCAGGAAGAAACAGGATGTACATTCACCTACAATCAGCCCTTGAAGTACAGAAATATGAACATTGATAAAGCCAGGTTCCTCATTCTTGATCCAAAGGTTTAAAACAGAGGGAATTATCTGTTTATTTCTCCATATGTCAGAAAAAAGGGCAATAAAAAATGTATTTGTTCCATGTTTTTCGTGACATAAATACTGTGATATTTGTCCTACGCATTTAACCCATCCTAGGAGCAGAGGGCTTATACTATCACCTAATAGAACACATATTTACTGCTGCTGTTTCCTCCAGGTCTGGGCGGTGCGTTCGGGTACCTGGTGGGAGCGATGGACTGGGCCACTCCGTTCTGGGAGAGGCGCTGGGATCAGAGTACCAGGTCATCTTCTTCTTCTCAGCGCTCACCTGGGGAGTCTTCCTCACCCTGCACCTCTTCAGTATTCCTGAACAGCCTCTGGATAAAGACCCCCTCAGACTCTGGCCCCTCTAAACCCAGTGCCCTCCGCCTGCTGGGAACACAGAGTAATGGATACGGAGCGTTGGTTAAAGAGCCCGTTTCTCCAGTGGGACCCGGACCCGTCACAGACCTCAGGCCCAGATCCTTCTCTGCTCTGGGGAAGCCAACTCAGTGACCTCCAGCGCCAAGCAGCCAAACAAAGAGGTGGGTAAAGAAAAAAAAACATTATTAATCCTCATATTCTTATTTTCTTGGGCTTTTATTTTGAAAAACAAGCATAGTATACAAGTACAGTTACCCTCTGAAGCCAACTCAGTGACCTCCAGCGCCAAACAAATAGGTGTGTAAGGACAAGATTTAAAAAAAACGTTATTAATCCTCATATTCTGGCTTTCTGGGGCTTTTATTTTGAAAAACAAGCATAGTATACAGTTACCCTCCGAAGCCAACTCAGTGGCTTCCAGCGCCAAACAAAGAGGAAAGATTAAAAAAATCCTTATCCTTAATTTATCCTCATATTCTGGTGCTTTTATTTTGAAAGACAAGCATGGATCTGAGCTAGAGATAGTTATTTTCTTGATAGGTATCTTCTGGGTGCTTTTATTTTTGAAACATTAACATCAAACATGCTCAGTGACCTCAAGCGCCCCAGCAGTCAAACAAAGAGTTTGTAAAGGAAAGATTTCCAAAAAAACATTATTAATCCTCAAATTCTTGCTTTCGTGGGCTTTTATTTTGAAAAACAAGCCTTGTTCTTAGCTTCCTGTAAATATACCGTTACTTTCTTGGGCTTTTATTTTGAAAAACAAGCCTCTTCTGCAGCTTCCTGTAAATATTTAGTTACCCCTACAGCTTTTATTTTGATAAAACCTTCCTCTTACTGAGCTTCCTGTGAGGTTCAAGTTACTGTATGGTGCTTTTATTTTTGAAAAACATGCAGTTACTCTTTGTGGTTTTTCGTAAAAAAAAAAATTTTAAAACACGCTTCTTCCTCAGCTTCCTCTAATGCAAACCATTACTATATGGGTTTTTATTTTGAAAAACATGCTTCTTCCTGCATTTCTCGTTAGGATACAGTTACTTTCTTGGGCTTTTATTCTGAAAAACATGCTTTTTCTGAGTGTGTTTAAATATTCATTTTTTTATGCATTTTTCTTACAATCTCAGCAAAACTGGCTTGACCTACATAATGAAGAATACTCCTTTACTGGAAGAACCATTGTCCAATAATCCTGAGGGTGTTTTAAATGTTTTATAGGTCATTTTCTGCAGAGGAGACTCTTCGACGTCCTGAAGTGTGAATATATCCTGTAGTATTAACTATTTTTTAAAACCTCTGAACATCTCTCAATCTGTCCGACGCTCCCGAGTTAATTTGTAATACTTTTTTCATTATCGTCTTCACTTTTGAAGCCTCGTAAAGACATTTGATTAATACTCTTCTTCCTCTGCTTTAAAGGTGACATGTTCATGCTTTTCCGGTTAGTACCCGTCCCCTTGTTGTTATGAAGGTTTTTATGCATGTAAACGGTCTGCAGAGTCAAAACCCTCAAAGTACACCATGTAGCGAGTAAAGCTCTAACACAGAGAAGACCTCCCCAAAACGCCTCGTTGGAGATACGTCAACTGTCCATTTGATTCTTCCGGGTACATCATGATGTCATGTCGTCCCCGGAACGAAATGGACCAATCCGTGGAGCCGTTATGTTACGTCCGCGGAGCCGTTACGTTAAGCCCCGCTGATTGGTCCAAATTGACCAATCCACGGACTTCCTCACACACTCAATGCAGGCAGCTCTGCTGATCTCTCCTCGCTGGCTGCAGGCTGATAACAGACAGTTGGGATCGCGGCGAAATTCTCTCTGCAGACCCGTTCTCTCTGTAGACCCGTTCTCTTGCAGACCCATTCTCTCTGCAGACCCATTCTCTCTGCAGACCCATTCTCTCTGCAGACCCATTCTCTCTGCAGACCCATTCTCACTGCAGACCCATTCTCTCTGCAGACCCATTCTCTCTGCAGACCCATTCTCTCTGCAGACCCATTCTCTCTACAGACCCATTCTCTCTGCAGACCCATTCTCTCTACAGACCCATTCTCTCTACAGACCCATTCTCTCTGCAGACCCATTCTCTCTGCAGACCCATTCTCTCTGCAGACCCATTCTCTCTACAGACCCATTCTCTCTGCAGACCCATTCTCTCTACAGACCCATTCTCTCTGCAGACCCATTCTCTCTGCAGACCCATTCTCTCTACAGACCCATTCTCTCTGCAGACCCATTCTCTCTACAGACCCATTCTCTCTGCAGACCCATTCTCTCTACAGACCCATTCTCTCTGCAGACCCGTTCTCTCTGCAGACCCATTCTCTCTGCAGACCCATTCTCTCTGCAGACCCATTCTCTCTGCAGACCCATTCTCTCTGCAGACCCGTTCTCTCTGCAGACCCATTCTCTCTGCAGACCAGAGGTGTGGACTCGAGTCACATGACTTGGACTCGAGTCAGACTCGAGTCACACATTTTATGACTTGAGACTCGACTTGACAACATCACAAAAGACTTGCGACTCGACTTGGACTTGAACACCAATGACTCAGGACTTGACTTGGACTTGAGCCTTCTGACTTGAGGTGACTTGCTACTTTAATTCAGAGATCTCCAACACGCCGATCGCGAGCTGCCGCTAGAAGAGCAGACTCCCGTCGGGGAAAGCAGAATCTTCAGCCGCTCCTACTCTTGCTGAGAATCATTGCAGGCAGGGGCGGGTCTTTATTTAGCTGGGCCACCATGCGGCCAATCATATGCGAGGACACACTAGGATCATACCATTATGTGAAAGAAGGGTGGGGGCACAGCATGTGCAGAGCGACGGGGAGACGGGGAGCCGGATTTAATGCAAGCGCGTCGAGAAAAAGTCAAGAAATGAGCGAAAAACCGAAAAAAGAAGCAGCATCTGGCTGCTTTTCAATGATATTGGAGAAAGCAAAGCTGAGTGCAGGATTTGTAAAATGAAAATAACCTTCAGAGCAGGGTAAACACTCAGGATTTATTGTCAGAGGTGGGAGAAGTTCAGACAATTAAAAAAAAGTTACAATCAGGGTTCCCGCGGGGTCTTAAAAAGTCTTATATTTGATAATCAGAATTGAAGGCCTTAAAAAGGTCTTAAATATGATTCAGAAGGTCTTAAAAATTATCGGATTTGAAAGGTACTTCTATGTTGCGATAGCGTCTAAATGTGTTTTGGGGGAAATGTCCGGGCTGCAAAGTAACCAGTACGGTAATAGCCTTTCAGTTCCCCCCAACAATTTGTATTGAATTAAATCAACATGGAACCAGTAATCACTAACTTTGTTTCCCCCGGCCCCTTGTTGGAGAACACCCAGCTAGTAACCTAGCAACCAAGCTTCAGCTCATGTAGCCTGATTGATTGATTGATTGAAAAGTGTATTAACAGCTTGTATATTGGGTACAGTACAGTACAGCTCAAAACATACAATTGTTAAGGGGATGCAGGACCAGAGAAAAGACTTTCGTCTTGTTTACATCAGGGTCCCCCATTTCCAGTTCATCATATCATTTAAGACATATAAGACATATTTGACATACAGATGGCTTATTTACAATTTACATACAGGTGGTTTTTTACATACAGATTGCTTATTTACAATTTTCATTTTAGATTTTCGTTCTAATACATCCTAACCGGACATTTAAGACATACCAAGTCTACAGATATATACAGTTAGTAACAGAGTCTAAAATGCGAGTATATACATAGATGGGGGGGGGGGAAGCTGTCCATTGAACGACAGGTTCAGCTCATGTAGCCTATCTTCGAATCTACTTACAAATAAATATGGGGAAGTGTAAGTTCAACCGTATTGGTTGGAAAACATCTAATTTAGTGCTTGTTTGAAACCAGTGGCGGGAACGTGTTTGAAGCCCGCTGAACCTTTTGCAAAATAAATTAGTGTTTGTTTTGCTAATGTAGCGTTAGCTAGTGCAGCGTAGCTAGTGCAGCAGCAAGCTAATGCAGCAGCTCCCGCAACAACACCGGGGGACCTCCGGGCTCTACGTCAACCCTAAAAGCGGAGGTGCTGTAGACGCTAAACACCAATCATACAACAGCAACGATGAAATAGTGTAGCCAAGGCAGCAGAGCTCTGAATATAGCTCTTGTCACTCTCTCTCAGAGACACACACACACACACACACACACACACACACACACACACACACACACACACACACACACACACACCACACACACACACACACACCCACACACACACACACACCACACACACACACTAGGGCTGCTCGATTATGGCAATAATCCAAGATTATGTTGGTCAATAATAATATCACGATTATTAAATATGATTATTCATTGACTTTGAAAACATCCATTTATTGAACTTTAAAACAGATATAATTTGAACAGTATCTTTTGAACTGTTGATTACCCTGAACGTATAATTCAACTGAAAAACCAATACAAAAATTAATTAAATAAATGATACATTACTAAAAAATGAATTAGATCAAATATGTTGTAGTGCACTGTCACAACCTAGCAAAGCAAAATCATCGTTTTTCCGATTATGTTGTTTTCGTAATTGTGGCAGGCCAAAATCGTAATTGCGATTAAAATATGATTAATTGCACAGCCCTAACACACCACACCACACACACACACACACACACACACACACACACACTCAAGCACACACAGCGCCACACTTTTTGTTCTAACACGCTAACACAGTTCTGTACTGTTACGCTGTTGTGTTCAGTCATGTTCTTATGTTGAACATGAATACATTTACTTTGTAAGTGATTATGGGAACGTATTCTTCTTTATTACATTTTCCTTCATACTTTATTGCTGTGAAATAGGTCTTAAATTCTATTCAAAGTGGTCTTAAAAAGGTCGTTAAAAATTCTTAAATTTGAGTTGGCGAAACCTGCAGGAACCCTGTACAATTAAAAAGTCCCTGCCATTCAAAATGTTACAAGTAAAAGTACAAAAGTATTAGCATCAAAATATAGTTTAAAGTACCACCTGCAGAGGGATCTAGATTCAGGTGTTCTTTTTCCCCATAGAGACGCCTCGCTGCACATTATCCCTTGCATAAAGATAGATTGTGGGTCCCTTATAACATGTTGTACACAGTGGAAATAAACATTCTGGTCACCTCAA